ACACAAACATTAGATGTTGTCATGGTTTAATTGCACATGACATGTAAACATTCACAGTGCAGGGAGGAAAAAGTATGTGAGGCCCTAGCTCAATGACTTCTCCCAGAGCTAATTGGAGCCAGGAGTGAGCCAACCTTGACTCCAATCAGTGTGATGATATTGGATGTGTTGCTGACAGCTGTCCTGCCCTTAAAAAACACACACCTGTTTTGGGTTTACTGGTTTCAAGAAGCACTGTCTGATGTGAACCATGCTTCGCAGAAAAGAGCTCTCAGAAGACCTACGATCAAGAATTGTTGATTTGCATGAAGCTGGAAAGGGTTACAAAAGTATCTCCAAAAGCCTTGATGTTCATGTGTCCACGGTAAGACAGACTGTCTACAAATGGAGAAAGTTTAGCACTGTTGCTACTCTCCCTAGGCGTGGTCGTCCTGTAAAAATGACTGCAAGAGCACAGCGCAGAATGCTGCATGAGGTAAAGAAGAATCCCAGATTGTCAGCTAAAGACCTACAGAGATCTCTGGCACATGCTAACATTTTTGTTGACACATCTACAATAAGGAAAACATTAAACAAGAATGGAGTACATGGGAGGACACCACGGAGGAAGCCATTGCTGTCCAAAAAGAATATTGCAGCACGTTTGAAGTTTGCAAAAGAGCACCTGGATGTTCCACAACACTACTGGCAAAATATACTGTGGACAGATGAAACCAAGATTGAGTTGTTTGGGAAGAACACACAACACTATGTGTGGAGAAAAAAAGGTACAGCACACCAACATCAAAACCTCATCCCCACTGTAAAACATGGCGGAGGGAGCATCTTGGTTTGGGGCTGCTTTGCTGCCTCAGGGCCTGGACGGATTGTTGTCATTGATGGGAAAATGAATTCCAGAGTTTATCAAGACATTTTGCAGGAAAACGTACGACCATCTGTCCGCCAACTGAAGCTCGGCAGAGGATGGGTGATGCAGCAGGACAATGACCCAAAGCATACAAGTAATCCAACAAAACAATGGCTGCAACAGCACAGAATACGCCTTCTGGAGTGGCCCAGTCAGAGTCCTGACCTCAACCCGATTGAAATGCTGTGGCATGACCTTAAGAGAGCGATTCACACCAGACATCCCAAGAATATTGCTACACTGAAACAATTTTGTGAAGAGGAGTGGTCCAAAATTACTCCAGATCGTTGTGCAGGTCTGATCTGCAACTACAGGAAACGTTTTGGTTGAGGTTATTGCTGCCAAAGGAGGGTCAACAAGTTAATAAGTCCAAAGGTTCACATACTTTTTCCTCCCTGCACTGTGAATGTTTACATGTTATGTGCAATTAAACCATGGCAACATCTAATGTTTGTGTAGTATTATGTTCAGCAGACTGTGTTCTTCTATTGTTGTGACTTAGATGACGTTCAGAGCACATTTTATGCCCAATTCATGCAAAACTCCACGTAATCCAAAGGGGTTCACATACTTTTTCTTGCAACTGTAGCTGTACCTTGTGTTTCCACCTACATAATATGTGTATTGATCATGTAGTTACTGTACGTGGTGTCTTTTGTGGGTCTGTATGAGCAAACTATAGTAAAGTAAATTATCACATTCTATGCAGCATGGCACTGCATAGGCAAATGCATGACCACTGTCTGTAGTCTAAGAACCAACACTTCCTGCGAAGAAACTACAGATCCCACAATCCCTGGGTCTCTCAGTCTAGTGCTGGTACAGGTGAAAATAATTAACAGTGCTTACCATGCTGGACCGGTGTTCATTTTACAAAACATTTGTGATGCAGGACAGAAACATGGCTGGGTGTGCATCTGAACTGGAATAAGAAATGGGTTGTTCCTATGGTGAGTAGGGATAGGTAGGTGTATCAATAAATAGAAATAAAGGGAAACAAACAGCCATGACACTACAAACTGCAGCCACAATATTTGAGCCCATCATTTCAAGGTAAAGCAAACAAACGACTCAGGAACTATAACTAACCTAATACCTAGTTAAAACAACAAAAGCATTTGAGAGTATACAATCCCTTTTAACCTCTTATTGCCTGCAATACGCATATGTGTGGCAGCAAAAGGATGGGCTCTAACGCCCACTCGCCCTACATGTGCGTTGCTGAGCCGCCAATGTTTCTCTGCTGTGAGCGTGCTCACTGCATGCTCCCAGCACAGAGACCGAGCTGTAAAAGACAGTTCTTGGTCCCCACTAATGATCAGTATCCTGCAGGACCATGATCATGTGACCAAAGTAACAGCCAACCACAATGGTCACATGATCAGCCAATCTTTCCTGCTTCTCCTGACATTCAGACCTTTGTAAAGAGATGCTTGGGCAGGTGGGAAAGGATTAAAGAGTAACTCCACTTTTGTTGAGAAAAAAAAAACATTCCTCTCTAGGTCATAAATGTACATTGCAAGGATTTAAACAAACTTTGTTGCAGAATACTACCTTTTGATATTCGGAAGAAATACCTGTTTGTTTTTGCTGTGTCCATGAGTTAAGCTGGATACAGTCACTGTGTGCCAACTTTCAACCCAGCTTTTTTCATTTTTCACTTGGTTTGTCAAGCCAGGTGGTACGCATGGCTTAAATTTCCATAGATTCAGCAGAAATCAGCTGAAATCAGAGCTGTGTATGCCTAGTCTAACTCTTACTCTATCTTAGACTTCGGCATGATCAGCACAAGGAACATAACTCACAGTCAGTAGGGTGTGTCCCTTGTGCTGATGCCTCTTCTGTTAGGTGAAATACTTCTCTGTCCATGTACCCCAAGCCTGCTGCCATAATGGTCTAGTGTTTTTTTTATTTTGGCTGCACTTAGGCTTTAGGAGGCTACTCTTATGCTGCACAGGTAATTTGACAGAAAGAGGTGAAAAGTCCACTACATGGTTTCCTAATGTTATGCTTCATGCAGCAAACATTCATTTGGTACTGCAGTGCCCTAGCACAGTGGTTAATGAGGCATGAATTTCAAGATATATGACAGGATGGCAGCTGATCGCACACTGACCCAAGCACTGGGGGGGCACAAGTGGCACATAAATTAGCCTGTATCTTTATACCCTATACTTTCTCTTGTTCAGTAAATCACACACATGTACTTCATAATCAACCAAACATACCCAAGCAATCACATCCACCTACCAATTATATTGAAAGGCTATTTACTGCTGCATACACTCATGTGTTCCCACATGTGTTTGAATAGTGCTGTGCAGTATTAATCAGATAGTGCTAAATACTTTCATAATGTGCTAAAAAAAAAAAAAACTACTAAAGCTCTTGTAAATAGTGTTTGGAAAAAAAAAAATATCCACATATACCTATTCAAATATCCACATATTTAAATGTGAAATACAAAACCACAGTACCAGTTGCACTCTCAAATGCATTCAAATATAAGAAAAACAGAAAATAAACTGGAATCAAATTATCTACGTGTACTTCTTCAAATATCCACATGTACCAATTTAAATGTGAAATGCAAAACCACTACGACAGTTGCATTCTCAAATGGATTCAAATATAAAAGAAAAGAAAAACAAAATATCCACGTGTACCTATTCCAATATCCACATGTACTGTTTTAAGTGTGAAAGTGTACAACTACAATAACAGTAGCACTATCAATTGTGCTCAAATATACAAAATGGGGAATGACACAAAAAAATCTTTAAAACATATCCACATGTCCTAGTTTATTTATCCGTGCGAACCACTTTAAGTGACTGATACTCCTCTAAAAGTGTACCAATGATCCGTAACTTCACAGGTAGTAGGTAAACACTCATATATATATATATATATATATATATATTATAAAGTCTAAACATACACGTAGCTCATATGCACTTGCCCCTTTCATTGCGGTTCCTATAAGCCATAGCACTGATCTCCACTCCGTGCTTCCAGGTCCTTTACAATCCAGTGCCATCGTCCATTATTCTCCAGACCAGGACAAAGATAAATTAAAAAAATAGAAGAGAGTATAGTGCTCTCTGCTTCCCAATTGTTATTTCTATTAAAAACTTAGTGTACTTAAAGGATAAGTTTGCCTTTTGGACAAAAATAATAAATTCACATTTTTTTCAGGTAAAAAAATGTGCATTTATTATTTTTGTCCAAAGGAGCCTGGAAAGCATTGCACTAACCATCAGTAGATCGCTGATGCCATGTAGCTCTCCTGTAGACCTGTTAGAATATCTGCTTGCTGTACGGGATGTAAGAGCAAGCAGATATACTGACAGGAAGCTTCAGTGAACTACCGCGGAGCTCCACAGCACAGTGGAAAAAACTACAAGCTCCAAGAAAATGGCTGCTTGCACACTTCCTGGTAGAGGCATCATAAGAATGTAGGAAGTGTGGCACCCTGAAGTGTCAGAACCTGAGAATGGTACAGAAATTGCCTGTAACTGTAAACTTTCCAAGGCTGCTGCATTTACAGTATGTGCAGGCACTTTATACCCACAGTAGTTTATTTTTTCTCTGACAGTTTTTGTACTATTTTGTGTTTAACTTTGACAGCATTACTTTTTCTTTTTTTTTTCAGAAAATTCTTTATTTAGAAAGAACATATCCAATAAACTGCAAAATAAGAACACCAGCAATATATTTTAAAGTACAAAGAATATCATAGAAGTTGTGCACAAATAAAACAACGTCCAAAAGCACAAAATAAAGAAAAACATATACAGAGAACTAGCAGGGTGGTCCAGTTCAACAGAGCCATACCACACCGATTTGGGTACATTTCATTGTAGAGAATACCCCACCTGTCAGCGGGTGACAATACTAATCATCGTAGTAAAAGCACAATGTGGACCATAAACTTCTCCATATTAATACACTGCTCAAATAAAGACCGTAGTCCAGGTACGGGCAGGATACCCTTTTTTTTTGCTTAAGCAGAAGAGGGTTGGTAGTATTGGAAGAGCAGAAGGAGAAAAACAGAGAATAAGAAAAGAGGGGGAAAAAAAGAAAAAAAAGAGAGGGGGTGGCTGAGGTAAGGGGAGGAGCAGAGAAGTTCAATACAGGACTTGGTGGTGTTAAGCAAATGTTGTAGGACCAGGGGCGGACTGACAACTCATGGGGCCCCCGGGCAATAGGGGATCATGGGGCCCCTGTGTCCTTGCGCAAACTCAAAAAAGCCTATGAAAAAGGTACCAGGGGCATCTCATGGGGCCCCTTACTGACCTCGGGCAGTGCCCGAGTTTCCAAATGGTCAGTCCACCCCTGTGTAGGACCGATTTCTTATAGGTCTTAACAGGGATTTCAGAGAGATGAAGTAAAGAGTAGAGAGATGAAAAAAAGGTGGGGCCCTCCAGAACTGGATAGTCTGGAAACTTTTGTGTAAGGCTGTGCACCTCCTACAGAATCGACAGCATGCGGTAGCATCAGGTTAATAGCTTCAAGTTACCCTCCTGTATGTGTGTGAATAGCAAGGTTTTCAAAATAAATTGAATAATGTTCTGAATTTGATTAGTTGTGAAATTCCTACCTAGATCTGCCTCCTCTTTACAGAGGCAAGGCAATGTAAAGCCTTCCGGCAGGGAGATGAAAAGGGAGTACGTCTTAGAGAGTTTTTGGGGTAGAACACCACTGTCCATACAAAACTCCTCGAATGTCCTCAGTGGATGTTGATACTATGTAGGGGGCCTTAAAGACTACTTGTTCTTTTTAGCAATTAGCTTACAGAATATTTTTGCTGGTGTATGCTCAGATTCAGTGTTTTGTAAGCAAATAATCCTTCCTATGTCTAATGCTGATTTAGTAAAGTGGAGTTGAATGAAAATGTCCAACAAAGAAGCTTAGGCCCCTTTCAAATGGGGCAGATTTCATCCTGAGCAACACATCTGTGTGTGATCAGTTTCTGCAGAGTGGACACGGGTAGAGCCCACTCTGCCCTGTGGGTGGCTAAGAGTAAAAAGGACTTTGCTGTCTGTTTACACCTGACTACCCTCTGATCCTCTCCGTCTAAAGAGAAGAAGACAAATATTGTTATTGTTGTTTTTTTAAGCAGACCCTATTGGACCTGGAGATAGGCAGGTGTAAAAGTCAGTTTACACCTGCCTGTCCATAGGAATGAATGGACCTTCCATGCAGGTCTGCCGTAAAAACTGACAGGCGGACCTGATCAGTCTACCCCTCTGAAAGGGGCCTAATTTTTCTTCCTTTTCCACCTGTTTTAACTGTTGATTCCCTGTACATAAAGAAGTTATTGAACAAATGTTTTAGAGTGGCTTATGTGATGTGGAATAACCAAGTTGCTGAGAGGAAGGAAACTGGTGGGGGTAAAAAAGAAATAACCTATACCATATGTCATACTCCCATGTAAATTGGTATTCAAAAACAATAGATGTAAGGGTAACTTGAGCAGCAAATCTCCTGTGTTCAGAATGCAGCGGGGTAGCTGCTCAGCAATCGACCTGGAAGCAAGTGGAGAACATGGAGTAGCTGTGTCTACTTCAGTGATTTTCAACTACCATGAGTATTGGCCAGGTAAAGCATATACCTGTAAATAGTTACATTGCTCCAAGTTGGACCAATGTAACTGTACTGTGTATGAAATATCAATGCCTGGAATTTATCTTTAGTTTAACCGTTTCAATACCGTGCAATTTTACACCTTCCTGCCCAGGCCATTTTTCAGGTTTCAGCGCTCTCAGACTTTGAATGACAATTGCGCGGTCATACAACACTGTACCCAAACTAAAATTTTATCATTTTCTTCACATAACTAGAGCTTTCTTTTGGTGGTCACCACTGGGGTTTTTATTTTTTGCTAAATTAACAAAAAAAGACCAAAAATTTTGAAAAAAAAACACATTTTTCATTGTTTCTGTTATAAAATGTTTGCAAATAAGTAATTGTTCTTCATAAATTTAGGCCGAGATGTATTCTGCTACATGTCTTTGGTGAAAATAACCCAAATTAGGATGTATTTTTTAGTTTGTAGAAAAGTTATAGAGTTCACAAACTATGGTATAGATCTGAATATTGATCAATCCTGAAGTACTGACAGCCAATCTAATTTCTTGAGGTCCAAGAATGTCAGAATAGTACAGATATCCCCAAATGACCCCTTTTTGCAGAGTAGACAGTCCGACGTACTTCATAAGAGGCATGGCGAGTTTTTTGAAGTTGTATTTTTTTGTCATAATTTTTCGGAAAATGAAAAAATTAAAAAAATTATTTTTTTACTATTTTTTTTTTACATACTGTCACCAGTGCAGTACAGCGTCATCATATAACTGGCATGGCGGTGAACAGGGACACTGACTATTGACAGTATGAAAAAAAAAATATATATATTTTTTTTTAATTTTATTTATTTTTTTATTATTTAATTTTTTATTACATTTTTTTATTTTTTTTTAAGATTTTTTTTTTCATATTTTACTATGACCAAAGTAGTACAATGTTACCATAGTAACATTTTACTACTTTGGGGAAGTGATCAGTATTTTTTTTTTTTTTTTACACAATTTGCTTATAGCAAAGAATTACTTTGCTATAAGCAAGCATTTATCTGAATGAAATCGATTCATTCAGCTTTTTTCTTTTTTTTTTTTTTTTTTTTTTTTTTTTTTTTTGTGCTTAGCTGTGATTTGGTTACAGCTAATCACATGACATGTGCATGTGATTAGCGGTGACCATTCACAGCTAGGCACTAGTATACAATGGATGGCATCATGAATGAAGCCATCCATTGTATACAACTGTCATGTGACCTGCTGTGATTGGTCACAGCAGGTCACATGGTACCAGCAACGGGAGCCGGTACTCGGATCTGTCATCGGCCGTGTCCGAGGTGCACGGCCGGTGACAGATCGTACTGCTGCGCCGCTCTGCATTAGCGCAAACTGCGCATGTGCGGGAGCACGCCAAATGGCGTGCACCCGGAGTGCAGAGACACTTTTGAAGCCGCCAAACGGCCATTGGCCGGGCGGCTAATGGTTAAAAATTCAAAAAAATTATTTTATTACATTTTCTTATACTGGATAATTAGATGTTTATTCATCCAATGGGCATCTTAGAACAACGTCTACTTTCCAAAGTCTACTTTCCAAAATCATACATTCTTACAAACATATATGACTCAAAATTAACATTTGAGAGATATTTTGTTTAATGAGGAGAATAAAAAAGAAAGACGATTTGTTTGAATGTTTAAATTAATGTCTATTTCTTGTTGCTGCATACTTAAAAATTTCTTATTGAAGCCAGTTGGCCAGTGTAATACCTGGATAACTATTATCTTCAGAAAGTGATTAGCAGCCCCATATGTTTTTATGAAAATATTTGCTATATAAATAGAAGTTTAGATACCTGCATAAATGTTACATTTCAGTACAAAATTCACAGCACAACCACAGTATTTCAATAAAGAAAATGCACCAAAACTGGACTTTTTTTTCCCAGTGGATCACTTAGCAACAGCAGCATGAATCTAAAAAGATAGCAACTCTACCTAGTTTTTTCTGCTCTATATAAAGGTTTCAAGTGTGGTGTATTTGTATCAACTACAGCAGAAGCAAACTGAGTCATTCAACCTGCTACTTCTATGGTGTTTTAGTTCTTTAGACATATTAGAATTTTTTTTGTCTGATGATCTGTTAATTTAATTTACATGTAAGGTATAAAAGTAGTATATATTTTATATGAGGCACTAATAGATCTTGGTGTGCTTTCTGAATATTTATTTTTAATAAAGGTATACTCCACAAAGATTTAAATTTAGATGATGGACATACAAAAGTGAGGAACTATTATGACATTTGGTGTCTGGTAATTTATGTTATTCCTCTTTATTGCTGCTAAGGACTGCAGATATAGCTCTAGATAAAACCAATATATTTATAGTTTACATGAATGTGAAAAGTGTGGTCAGCTCTGTTCTTTAATGGCTAAACTGGTCTAGTCTTTCAGAATGGGAAAAAGTGTAGAAAGAACGGTATATAACTCTTTTTATTTATAACTGTAGTAATTCATTGTTTTCCATGGATCTGATTAATTCTGGCTCATTTTCAAACATTCACCTAACTGGATTTCTCACTATAGATTATAGATTAAGTTTTTAAATATAACGTGCAACATTTTGCCAAACAGAAAAAAAAATCACAAAAAAAGCAACTGTGAGACCAGTATATACAGTATTATCGAGCACACATAGAGTGGAAACAGGTTAGAGGCTCTGTCATTTTTTTCTTGCTCTATTTTACCATCTTGGGGATTTTCTCACTTCTTGGCAAGACAAAAAGTGGCCGGAATTCTTTCTAATGGGACACAGATAAAAAACGCATGTTAGTAAACTGTTGAAGAGTTATAATGTCTGATATTTTCTTTGATGTCTGCACTGCATTTCTTGTAGGGCATCACAGGAACAGGACGTGAGGGAAAATCTACTCAATGGGATCACAAACAGATACAAAAGTGTGAAACAAACATCAACTCTTTCCCACTCTATCAAAATTAAAGAAAACAAATGGCATGAGTAAGGCTTTAAATACAATACTTTGAGTCCTTGACCTGGAGAAAATGCTGTCATCATAAAAAGCTATAAAAAAATCCATTAAACATGCCCAATTCATGGAAAACTCCACGTAATCCCAAGGGGTTTCACATACTTTTTCTTGCAACTGTAGATAGGAAGTGGCTGCAAGGAAGTTGGGGAAATTAGAAGAACTCAGATACAATAAAGGATGAAATAATGTTGAAAACAAGTATTTTCCAAATGATAAAGCTATTGTTTCAGATACACAGTGCTTTAGCAAATGAAGTACCAGTTGGGATTCCAATCTACATTAAATACTTGGCAGAAGTGTAGCACAGTAATAAATGTTAGACCTGTAATTCAATGTTTTCAATTTAAAGTGGAGCTTCACCCAAAAGGGGAAGTTACACTTTAAGGCTTGCTCCCCTGCTCCTGGTAAAGAAATGGGAGCTTTTGGGGAGCAGGGGACAGCAGGTACCAAATTTTAATGGATATACCCGCTCCCACTTCCGCTCAAACCACCTAGGCGATCAGACGTTCTCCTCCCCCTCCCTCCCTAAAATCTTCTGGGACATGTGACAGGTCCCAGAAGACTGCCGGATCATTCACAGTGCTCAGCGCTACTCACGCATGTGCAGTGGGCATCCGGCTGTGAAGCCCCAAACTGTCACAGCTGGGTGCCCAGAGTTGAGATGCCGGC